AATGGAATCTGCAAATGCGCTATCTTCAAGGCCAGCAAGATGTGCCCCACGCCTCTTCTCGTGGGAATTCGATGCGGCCTCTACTGGTAATAATGTGAATACGTTTTATATTGTTATCATTGCTTTAAACATATGGATGTCATACCACTGAACGGAACTCACTCAATAATCAGCGTAGTTTTCCATCTTCATCTAAGTTCACCGATGTATTCGACCTATATGGCTCCTAATTTATCACTTTTTTTTATTGGCTATTTTCGTCATTTCAGGTCTTTTCCTTGAGATGAATATATATATATATATATATATTCATTATAGTTGTTTTTATTGCTACATGCGAGATTTTTTGATCACCCTATTGGCTAACATTTTGGTAGATCGCCTTCTTCAAAGCCTGAAATGGGTAGCAAATCATTAACCTATCCTAACAGACATCTCTGCAGCAATGCAAAAGAAGCTCCAAGACCTATTTTTGACCACAAGTGGAGTTGCGGTCAAATGCTCACCGATTCGACGAAATTTTCTCTGCAGAAGTGACCACAAACTAATCACGTAGGTGTGAAAATGACAACCTTTACTAGGTCAGAAGAGATGACCTAGGGAACGAGTTCCGTAATTTCGAGGCACTCTTCCTTGCGATTCATTTTTGGAGTTTACGCGTGGATCCAAAATGCTTCCATGAGGGGCTGAAGCACAGCGGAGGATATTAGGCAATTCTGAAAAGGTGAGCAGAGAGGATGGTAGCTGGCAATACCAGAGGACGATAAACCTTTTCTTTCATACCGCGTATTGAAGAAGGGCCTTCCACCTATCTTCTTTCAACAACCCAAACATTGCAACTAACCTTGCAATGTTTGGCTTGCTGAAAGCGAGGAAATCTACTTCTAAATGCTAAAACGTTTTTTCTGTCTTATCTTGTCAGTTTTCAGCCGTGCCTTGTCATGCAATCCATGATCAGTGCGTCACTAGTTAGACGAAAATGTGCTGCAAAGTTAGAATAGAGCCGCACAGCTGATCTTTAGGGCATCTCCATACTCCATAAGGATAGGCCGATCGAGGTGCGCGGCGGTTGCGTTGCCGCTCCCTGTTAAGTACAAATTTGGCGCAGTTCGACCCTATCCCAGCCTTCCCGCACTTTTTCTTCCTATTTGACTGGCTTTCTTTCTTCAGGTTGTATTAGAGTTTTCAGAAGTCGTTAGCAAGTGTGCCGGAAAGATGAGGACGGAACCCCAGGTAAAATGGTATTTGAGTGCGGCGCAGCAACGCAACCGCCGCGCACCATCGGCCGATTCTTAGTGCGTTTGTAAGCGTTATAAGGTCGGCCGATCCTTACGAATTATGGAGATACCCTTGTTTGACTGGGGCGCCGCAACGCAACCGCGCCGCACCCTTCGTCGACCTATCCTTGACAAGTATGGAGGCACTCTAGCGGGCTATTGCTTTCTGGCCCTAGCGCCAGGGACTATCTGACCGTCAGCAGTGAAAGAAACTGTAAGTCACAATATGGTCTGGTGGAAAGACGTATTTTTGATCGTCTGGCAAAAGCCTTTCTTCTTTTAAGTATTGGGAGCAACTAATCTGTAAACGAAAATGTCGTGGGATGAATCTTCTATTCGTTCTTGGAAAGTGATCAAATATGTTGACCTGCGCACCCAGCATTCAAGAATCCTAGTTATTTTTCTGTTCTGATTTACTAGGCTTTAATTTTGCTATCTGATTTGAAGGATTTTTAGATGGAACCAGATCTTACGGTCAATCTGCACAAGGACAGTCGTCTGCTCACCGTATCTCAAGGCACTTCTGTAATTGAGCAGATTCCTCTTTCCGCACCTTCACCTACTGTTATGTAAGCTGTATTCTTCTTTTATTTTTT